GATGCCTGAATACTAAGAGCCACTCCTTTTCTTTTCATTTCTTTATTTTTGAGACAGGGTCTTACTATGTAGACCAGGCTACCCTCAATTTTACAGAGATCTGCTGGGATTAAATGCATGCACCACCATGCCCTGCCGTAGTTTGCTGGGGGTTTTTTGTTTGTTTGTTTTTCTTTAAATAGATGCAAGTACCTCCTTGTCCAGAATTTCATCTTGGAGGCTATTAGCTGGTTTGCACTTGGGTCTACAAAGCTCCTGTCCAAATCTGCCTCCCGCACAGTCCCAGACATACTGTGCTACAAGTGGGCCTAAGCCAGCCTGGCAGGCCAGCAGTTCTGGGATCTGTGGGCAGCCTAAACAAGGAGAGGAAGTAGGTTTCTGTTTCCTCACACCATCAACTCCAGACAACACAGATTGAGTCAAGTATCATTCCAAATTCTGCCAAGCAGACTGTATTCACAAGCAGGCCCTGTGACCTCTGTGTAACCTATGCCCCTGGATCAGGAGATGCCCATTTGGTCCTCCAGCCCCTTACAGCCACTGAATGAGGTCACCTCTGCTGATTTCTCATGCCCAGAATAGCAGCTCTCTAATGCACCAGGTTACAAGGTCTCACAGGCCTGATCAGAGCCTAGCAAGGAGGAGCTCCAGGCTCTTAGGAAGCCATAACATGGGAGGACTATCTCCTCCCTGCACAGTCTCTACTGCCTCATTTTCTGTTACCTCCTCCTCCCGACCCAGGACTCCCAGCAGGCCTGGAATTCACAGTCCTCCAGTCTCTGCCTCCAAGTGTTATGATCACCGGCTGTGGCACATGCCATCAATTATCTGTACTTTGCTCAACAGGCATTTGGAGACAACTAAGCCATGTTCTCTGCCTTCTACCACCCCAGCTTCAGGGACCACACTTGAATACCAGAGCCCACTGAAGACCTTTCATTCACCCTATCCCTAAGCTTCCTTGGTGTGCCCCCCCCATCTTGCCCCTCTTCCTTCTTCAAGGCTAGACCTGGCTCAGCGTGTTGAGGACTAGGGCAGTCTGCGGCTTTTCCTGAGGCCCTGATGCATGGAGAAGGAACGAACTTGGCTCCTTGTCTGAGACCAGGAATATGCTTGGCCAGGGCCCAGGGAAAGCTGTGGCTTTGGATCCTGAGCACCCAGCTCTTCCCACCCTAAGGTGCTATGCTTCTCAGTGCCAAGGCTGCTGTTTGGTCTCTATGCCCTTGAGGTATCCTTTGTTGTCTTTGTGTGGCACTGTTTGATTAGCTTATTGCTGACTTTGTCCTTTGTATAAGAGCTTTTGCTGACTCTGTCCCATTTCTTTCAGGAAAACTGTACCTAAGGTCCCGAATTTCTCAATAAACTTGCTTGCATGAGCCATCAACTTATGCAAGACCTCCTGACCCAAAACTTTGCAGTCTTGTCCATCTTCTCATCCCCCGGCCATCTCTCTCTCAGGAACCCATCATGGAGGAAAGACCTACTGGTCCAGATCCCAGTTCTCTTCTCCCCTCTTCCTCCAAATGCTTGTTGTGGCCCTGTGTGAGTGATGTGCCTCCTGTGTCTAGAGACTTCTCTCTTCATGCAATCATTTCTTTTGCTGCCTTATTGTACCTGACTGGCGTCAACCCTGGCTATATTTTTAGCACATTCCCTGAAACAGAGTCCTTCAGAGAGGGCCTGTTTTAGAAGGGGAAAGAGAAGATGGAGTGGTCTGGTACACCCAGATGCCATATCTATTGGGGTGCTGTCAAAGGGATCTCCAATAGGCAGGACTTATGAGGGGCCTGGTGCTTCTGAGCTGGAGGAAAAGAGGAAGTTAGCTATTTTAAAAGTTGAAGTGCAGTCAAGGAGGAGCATAGTATACTGAAGAGTGTCCCCTCAGAGGTGTGTATATATCCTGACCTGTGGATCCCATGATTGTGGTCTTTAGAAAAGGGATAATCAAGAGATGACAGAGTGGGTAATAACTCTTGCTACCAAACCTGATGATCTGAGTTCCATCCTCAGGACCCAGATGGTGGAAAAAAGAGAACTGATTCATATTATCCTTTGATGTCCACACAAGCACACACACAAATGCATGCATGTACACAGGCGCGTGCACACACACACTCAAGAGCACACACTCACACCACACGCAAACACCTGTCCTCACCTCCTTCACAGGGAACACAGTCACCAACAGCTTGATTGTGAACATAGGCCTCAAATAGTGTGAAAATAAATTCCTCTTATTTCCAACCAAAATGTTGAAGTGTTAATTTGTTGCAGTAACCATAGGAAACCGGTAGCCAGAAGGGGAACCCTGAAGGGAGAGATAGCCAGGCACACAGCCTTTCCAGTCAGCTGATAGTGTGCCCTCATCCATAGCTTTCTAGTAACTGCTGACTGAAATTCAGCTTCTGCTCAGTGGCTAACTCCTGGTTTGCCATCTCCTGTCCCTTGGTTTCTGGCTCTGGACCAAAGGTCCCCTGGCTGTGTCACAGCACGGGGAGGCACAAGAAAAGCCTACATTGTAGCTTAATTTTATGGTAACACTCTCAGCACACCTGCAATCCCAGCACCAGGGTAGCTGACACAAAAGTATCATGAGTTTGTGGCCAGCCTGTACTATGATGTAGCCCCGGCATTCTGGAGATTGACCCTGTGCAGCCACTTGTGATGGTTGGTTAGCACTCTCAGATTGACAACCAAACATCACCTGGAAAGGGTCTCTATGAGGGACCATCTAATTCCAGCTGGTGTGGGAAATGTCTTGATTACATTAACTGATGTGAGAAAATCCAGCCCAAGAGTGGGTGGCACCACCTCTGGGTTTGGGGCACAGACTGTATGAGGGAAGCATGTGTACACCCATCCCCTCTGCTTGGACTGTGATGTGACCGCTGCTTCAGATACCTGTCACCTCGATGTCCCCCTCTTACATGTGCCACCACCTCACCACCACCACATGGAAGCCGGCTCCAGCTGCAGCACCTGAGCCCTCCACAAAGCACACCTCCCAACCATCTAGACACAGAACCAAGACCAGTTATTAAAAAACGAACTTTAAATGAACTTGCCAGGCATGATGAGATGTACACGGGAGTTGGAGGCAGGAGAATGAAAGTTAGTTAGTTCAAGGCTAGCCTAGTCCACATATTGAGTTCCAGAGACACAGATCCCATACCAAAAAAGAAAGAAAGAAAAAGAAAAAGGAAGGAAGAAGAAAGAAAAGAAAGGAAGGAAGGAAGGAAGGAAGAAAAACATAGCTCTTAGGACCCCACTTTTTTGGCTTCAAAACAGAAGCGCACTGCCTTACACTGGTTTCCATCAGGTCGCCCTCTTTCAGTCCCTAGAAATCATTTCACTTCAGACACCCAGGCCTTAGTTTTCCTGTGCCGATGGCTCATTGAGCAGTATGAACAAACAGTCCTTGAGAGTTGTGCTCTGAAGGTCCTGGACCCTGTGGTTTTCTTTCTGGAACATGAGTTGTTCAGTCTCAGGTCTTACAGTTGTTTTCCAAACTGTTATTTATGAAGTGCCTAGTGACGGACCAGGTCAACCCTGACACTGGTGTAGGATTAGACATTGTGGTGGCAGAAGCTGTGGCATTTCCTTCCTGTGTCATGGTCGAGGGACAAATCAACTTGTGGAGACCCACACTAGATCCCAGATGTCCCAGAGCCAGGGCTCATGGCCATGTGTTAGGAAACCAGTTGGGGAGGGGGTTAGGGACAGTGCTGGCTAGTACTGGAGTCCAGCTGAGTCTGTCTGGAAATGCAAGCCAGAAAAAATGTCTTGACCTAGGCAGCCTTGCCTGGAAGGCATGGGACATGGAACTGAGCTCAGGACACGCAGGTCATGAAGTTGACCTGAGAGACACAGCAGGGGGCCAGGGGAGGGGCATCTGGACAAAAGAGGCAGAAGGGACAATGCTAGTACAGACACTAAAGATAACAGGACTGCTCACATCCTGTCCTGCATCTGAAGAGGGGTGTCTCAACAGAGCAGGGAGCATAACAGGAGGGTGGTCATGAGGGAGTGGCCCAACCACCATGGTAGGGTCCAAAGAGCAACTGCCAGAGAGTACAAACTCAGGAAGAGGCTCGTTTTCTGCCCCTATCAAATCTGTTATTTGCTATTTGTAAGGTGAAGATAGGAGGATCAAATTTTCAAAGTCATCCTTGGCTCCATAGTGAGTTTGAGGTCAGTCTGGGATACATTTGACCCAGACTCAAACACAGACAAACCAACCCAGTGTTTGGCTTTGAGAAGACATGTTGGATGTACATGTGAGTATCGTGTGAGGCTTATATAAAAAAGTCATGTTAGGCTGGAGGCATGGCTCAGAGGCTAACAGAAGCGCTGCATTTGCAGAGGACTGCGGAATGGTTCCCAGCACCACATAGGGTGGCTCTCAGTCACCTGACTCCAGCGCCATGGGGTCCGATGCCCTCTCTTCTGGCCACAGAGAGCACTTACACACACACACACACACACACACACACACACACACACAGATACACGCACATACATTTTTAAGACAATCCTCTATCAACCAAGAAGACTTGCTTTTAGACTGTGGGCAAGTGTTCTTTGTGAGATGTTCAGCAACGGAGGCAGACTCTCCAGCACATCCAGTCAACAGGGGTGGGGTGGGACCCTGAGACCAAGGTCTTTGTGCTTCAGCATTCTACCATCAAGTTACATCCCAAACAAAACTATTGTTATCCTTTTCTCCACGACAGCCCCACTCTGACAGGGGAGTTGGCTCTGAAGCATCAAGGGTCTGTGTATTCCTGTTCCAGACACTGAAAGCTCCCACCCACTTCCTTCCCTGCACTCTCAAGATATGTTTACCAAGACTGACTCTTCTACTGCTCTGGGGTTGTCAGCTTTATGGTCCTTCCAAGACACAGTGAGAAGCAGCAACTAAGCTGGTTCCTGCCACACTACAGTTCCACTGAGGAAAAACTCACGTCACACAAAAGCCGTTAATGACAAGCTGTATTTGGCACCAAGGTTTTCAAATGCACTCCATTAAATGTGTTCCTCTGTATTAATGGTTTATTCTTCAGAGCTTTCTTGTCAAGGCTTCCTATGTCTTTTTTCCAAGGTAGAAGTCCGAAAGTCCTATCATGTTATTCTTTCTAGATTCTCTGGATGGAAAACAGATAGAGATGTTATCAGAAATGTAATTGAATTTTTACAGGGTGCTATTTAGCTGACATTATCCCAAATACTGGACACTGATGCCTCACCAGACTCCTGCCAACCAGTAACAGTTCTGAGTTCTATTTGCTTGTGCAACAATTGATGTTTATTTACAGGCAAAACACCAGTGCTGGGGAGCCACTCTTATGTTAGGAAGTGGGCAAATGTTGCCCAGGATGCACCACATCATGCTTCTCTTGACAGCCAGTGACCACTCTAATCCTCTCATGCCTCCCAAGGTGCTCTCTGTTGCCCACCCTGGCCCATAGGCCAGAGGAAACCAGGACTGCAGAGCTCACATGGCTTGCTGTGCCTCAACAGCTAAGACAGATCATGAATAACATCACTATTCATGGAGGTGTGGCTGTCAAGGGGTATCAGATGCTGTCAGAACCAAACAGATGGCAAGTGAGTGGATGGATGGATGGATGGATGGATGGATGGATGGATGGGTGGATGGATGGATGGATGGATGGATGGATGGATGGATGGATGATGGGGTAGGGCAATGAACTCCGAGTTGGCAGACATGAACAATGGCTCCTTTTGTAAAAGAAGCCTAATTACCCAGTTGATGAGGAGGAGCAGGAGAGGCGGGGCAGCCAAGGCAGCCTGGCCTGGCTTGGTACCACAGGCCATGCTGCCCAGTATTGGTGCAATCTAAGCTCTCGAAGAGAGCTGGTTGGGAGATTACAATATGCCTAGCCCATGCCTTGCATAGCCCCAGAATATGGTTACCTGGGCAGCCAGGCCCATTAGGCTTCCCCGAACTAGAACAGTTGGGATTTTCTAGGGTGGGTGCAAATGAGGACCTAGTGAGACAAGCTGAGCTCTCCCACTTCCCTTTTAGTGCCCTTATCTTCGGCCCCTCCCTCTAGAGTACTAACCTATTTCTACTCATGCACCCTGCCCACCTCTGCACCCTTGCCCTGCAGCCACACATGGAAAGCCACAGACTATACTTTTATCTCCTAGTCATCACTGCAGTCTGGCTTCTGCCAGCACTCTCCTCGGCTGCCATATTTGGCTTTGCTGTCAGCCCTCCCCCATCTCCTCCACATACACTGTCATGGAGCCACTCCTGGGGTAACCCTGACATTATCAGGAAAGAACTTAACCTAAAGACCCTATGAGCTCCCCCACAGCCCTCCAGACCAAGACTCCCACATCAGTAGAGCACAGGTGCAAACCGTCCCAAAGGGAGGCACCTCAGGCCACCTACTACAGAGATCAGACACCAACCCTAGGCAGCCATGAGTGAAAAAAGCACCTCTGCTCACTCTCTACATTTCTGTCAATGCCAACAGCCTGGAGATACAGTGCAGGTGCCATATGCCAGCTCCTCCATTCACAACTGTGAGAGTGACCCTGTGGGTAATTTGGCATTTGTTGGCTGCCGTCAGGCTGCCCACTGGTAACAATCTCTCTAAGCTTCATGTGTTGGTGAGGCTAATTCCACCAATGTCACTTTTCCACAAGCTATCGTTGAGAACTATCTGACAGTGCATGCTGTAATTGAGCTCTTCTGGCGACAGGACAGTCCCTCCACCTAAAGTCTAGGAGATGGAATCTATGTCCCACCCTGTCTGACACTAAGAGGACAGGCTGAGGGGCTGCGGCTCTTCTGCTGATGGTCCTTGACAGGCAGCTGCCCTTTGACTCTGTTTGCCTTCCACCAGGGGCAAGTTCTCAGTAAAGAGAGGTGGAGGATGGAGATTCTCTCACTCAGTATGCCAGAAACCCACAGAGAGCTGTACTTACGACTTCTCTCTTAAAGTGGCAAGAAAGAGCTCTCTCTCCCCGGGCGGGTGATCTGGGTCCAGTCCAGACAAGTACTGGTAGATGTAGGAGAAAGTATCAAAGGGAATTCGAGCAGGCCCGCCCTCTGGGTCTTCAGTGAGGATCTCACAGACATTCTTCATGGCGGCCTTCAGTGACTAGGCAGGGAACAGGACAAGCATGGGGCATAGTCACTCTTGGAGTCAGAGATTTAAAGACAACACCAGCAACAGAAACACAAGTGTGCTCTGTAGACATTGTTCACAGAGTGTTCTTTCTCCATCTCAGAGAAGGTCCAGGTGGATGCATAGCTTCCACAACACAAAGCAAGAAGTAAGGTTTGACCAGGACGCAACTGACCAGACATGGTGAATTCATGCATTTTATACCAAAATGGGAATGACTGCCATGGACAAGGTAAGTGTACTGGCTGGTTTTGTGTCAACTTGACACAACCCAGAGTCATCAGAGAGGAAGGAGCCTCAGGTGAGGAATGCCTCCATGAGATCTAGCTGTAAAGCATTTTCTCATTTAGTGATCAATGGGGTAGGGCCCAGCTCATGGTGGGTGGTGCCATATCTGGGCTGCTGGTCCTGGGTTCTATAAGAAAGCAGGCTGAGGGCTGGAGAGATAGCTCAGCGGTTAAGAGCACTGGCTGCTCTTCCAGAGGTCCTGAGTTCAATTCCCAGCAACCACATGGTGGCTCACAACCACCTTGAATGAGATCTGGTGCCCTCTCCTGGCCTGCAGGCACAAGACTCTATATATAATAAATAAATAAAATCTTAAAAAAAAAAAAAAAAAAAAAAAAAAAAGCCTAAAAAACCCAGGG